TGAATGCTTATTAGTACTTTATTAAATATCTAATCTTAGAAGTATGGGTGTAAGGCATGCACATTTCATAACTTGGAAATACATGTTTGCTTATATAATTTAATGAAGCTTTCCACAACATTTTCAGTAACTACCTGCATTTCCATAATACAAACTGTATTCTCACTAATACAAGCTAAGCCTATTACATGTGCTTCAGAAAGGTAACATGGCCATGCTGATGTGATATATGTAATACAAATAATTAAAAGCATACGAGTTCCCAAAGTGATCAATTTCCAAGTTCTTTACGATAATCATACTCTTTAGCTGGAGGATAATGCCCTTTGGTTGTAACACGGTGGAGGACCCTTAGGCCTACTTGACTTCTTGGGAGCTGAGTTTCAGGAGCTGCTTCATGTCCCACAGAGAGGTTATCTGATATGATGAAGTCTCCAACATCCCACTGCAATTAATTAAATATACTTCAGCCATTAGTAATCAAATGCAGAGTATCTCTGCAATTACAAGAGCTTTTGAGGAGTATATCTAACATGTAAATGATAATTATCTTTCACAATGCTAAATCTGGAGAAATGATAGAATTCTAAAAAAGAAAAAAAAATCTTTTCACTGAAAATACGCATAATTTCTGACACAAAAGTCCTAGGCAATAATGAAATCGCCCTTGGTACCTGATGACTAAACTGCCGAACTTTATTATTCTTAATGAATTCATGGTGAATTTCTTGAAGCAAAGAATAGGTCTCCTCTTCTTTAGTGATGCGTTGTTGTGGAGTCTTGTAGTCCCAGATGAAGGAGTCTGTCATGCCCAGGTGGAAACAGAGTACCTTGTAAAAGAATACACAAATGGGAATGAAAATTCGGACACAGGACTTTGCACAATCTATTCAGTTTGTTTTTTGTCTAAGCTGGTAATACTGTGTTCAGAGATCTGCAAAAGTACATAAAAATAAACGTGGAAGAATGCTCTAAACTCAAAGGAAATCACTTTTTTGAGACACTCTTTACTTTTATATTCTTATCAAATGTGAAGGTAGTGTTTAAGCTATGAGACTGGGGTAAAAGAGTAATTTCTAGTGCACCATTTTGCTCATTTTCATTTTCATCTAGTATCCATAGTAGCCTATGTCTCTAAAGTTGTTAAAAAAATCAAGCCAAATTTCTAAACACTGTGGAAAGAAAAAAATAGCAAGGTGGAATTTAGAAATAAAATTAACCTCCTACTTCCCTATTCCCTTCCTTCCTATTTACAAAGCTCACCTCTAGCACAGAAGCAACCATTTTGCTTCTTAAAGAATGAGCCACACATCCTTCCTATTCTATACAGTGGGTAAGCACACCTGCACACACCAAAAATATATAAATATACTTATTAGGTGCTGCATATATTCAAACACACACATATCTATATGTATATCTATATCTATATATATATATATATGTAATATATAATGCAAATCCTCCTTATAAAAGCGTGGCATGGATGAGAGAAAGATGGAACTATTTTTCTTTATTTTACAATGCACATCAAGATGCCACTATGAGCTAACACTTGCTATGTCCATTTTACTGCAATCAACAATTCAACACAACACTGTCAAATGGTGGACATGGTACGACTCGAGGAACGTGGCATGAGGCTGGCTGGGGAGACACTCTTAGCGTGCACAGATTTGTCTCTTTCGTGACTCTCTGCTACACAATGTGATGCACACACGGCGGTCACAACACTGGCCACTTCCCTCCAAGTGGACGTCCTCGTTCATTCTCAAACTGTATAAAACAACTGCTGCAAGCAATCTTACAAAACAACTAAAGATATAAGCCGTTTATGCAGCTGAACATATAAAGTACTTCTAAAGAAAGTGATATTTGCTATACTCCTTACAATGTCCAAAATCACAAAGATGAGGTTGCTTTCTGTCCTCTATGAGGTCTCAAAGTCGGCTGCTACATCTCATCCTTCATATGATCTCATGATGTCATCATCCATCTCTGTCCCTGGCTGCTCATCCTCCTCACTGTACATATCCGGTGGACCAGGGTCATCCACCTTCTCAGGAATAGCAGCTATAACGCCAAGTGGCTTTTCTTCCTCCCTACTAGTCCCCCCCCCCCCCCCAGCCCCCAGGTGTAGTAACCATCTCTATACTTTCATAAAATGTCTCCATGGACCACTCACACAGGCTCTGTAGCTTGGGTGACACAGTTTTCTTCTGAGGGTTGTATTGCTACAACTTGAATTTGACTACACAGGCATCGTATGTTGTAACAGCATTTCATGTGCACCTGCTAACCTCAGGTGTCCTTTCACCTGGCGGTGCACTTCCTCATGCCGTTGTTGTAACTCGATGGCATAATCACTGGTCGCTACAGGTAATTCTTCATTAGGTGGTCTAGCCAGTCACCAAACCAAGAAGCAAACACAAATCATTTCCCAACATCATCCTTGCAGGGGAGAAAATGGTGGCTTCATGCTCTGCATCAACAAGCAAAGAAGCTTGTTAGTCCCCCTCCATCTGTCCTTTACTACAGTGTTTGGCCAGCTCCTGCTCTTCCTTGGGGACTGTACCGGTTTTGTAGTTGAAGATGGGTTAGGCTTCTGGCTATATTGTCAAGTAATCCATTGCCACCAAGACGAACTGTAATCTACTCCATAGGTATACTTACGATTCAATTGTTGAGGCGCTTTTCCCCTCTTTGCATTACAGGTGGCACGTCCTTACACATCCTAACCCAGGGTAAGGGTAGGGTAAGAAGAGGGGAATGTTTAGTCTGTCTGCTGCAGGTAAGGTGGGGAGGGAGAGGGGATGGTGTTGAGGCTGTAGTTGAGATTGGAGTGTTTGGATTTAGAGTGGCAAAAGTATTTGACTGGGGGAGGTAGAATGTAGAAGTGGAAGTGGAGATGTAAGTAGATATAGGGGAGGGTGTAGAAACATCTTGAGGTGGAGGCATAGGGGTAGACCGAACGACATGGCTAGAGTAGGGAGTATAAGAGAAACTTTGTCGGCCTGCTTCCTGTAGAATGAGACCATGTATGTATCTGAGAGTTGCTACCTCAGAGTCATACTTGTAAGTGGGACAATCTCTATAAAATACATTATGGGGGCCACCGCAGTTAGCACATGTGTATGAGACTGGGTTGGGCACGTATGGGGCATCGGTCTGTGGAACGGCAGTGTTTGCGATGTCCAAAGCGCCAATAGTTTTGATATTGACTGGGAGGAGTTTGGTATGGTTGAAAATATGAAAGGGAAGGTCATGTGTACAGAAAGTAATTTTGGCAATGTTGGTCGGTTTCTTTCAAAGACCTCTAGGAGGAATGGAGTAGCAATGTACTGCTTTCACATCTTGGTCTTTGAGGCAGCTGAGTAAGTCTTCTCCACAATCTGAACAATATTTGGTATCGACTAAGCTGTTTACTGGGGAGATAGAAACAGTTCCGGTACAAATATTAAAGGTTGGATGAGATTCTGCAGGAATGGGGTTGCCAGAATGATCAGTTAGATTTGATAATGCTAAAGCTTCAATTTCAGATGTGACTGCCACGAGACAGGACCTTGTTTTTTGGAGACATTATTGAAACAGAAGAGTGTTGCCTGATTAAGGAGCTATAGACGGGATCACAAAAAATCAGTCCCATTTAGCTAGGCTAAATAGAGTATTTAAGATATTTTTAGGGTTAGTGGTGGTACAAAGACGGGGACGTGTGGAAGAGGGAGTATTGTTGAGGGGGTAGTATTATGGAGAGATGGAAAATAAGGTTGTAGGGTAGAAATAAGGGAGGTTGGGGTGTTTGATGAAGAAGGTTGTGGGGGTAGAAGTGATGAAGTTGAGGAAGTTGGGAGAGTAGGAATGTCTTCTGGAGACTGTTTCGTTTTGATTCGGTAATGCACTAGTAGATATTGAGGAGTGGGTAGTAGTTTCAGTGTTTGGAGTTGTGGTCAAAGGAGAGCCTGGGGTTGGGGAGCTGGGATCTCCCTTGCCCAAGGCAAGGGAGATCCCTGCATTGGGTCCCTGTCTCCTTAGTCTCCGTAGCCCCCCATGACAACAACGGGCAAGGGATTAGGGGGGTACACATACTGAATGTAATGCAAGAGGAAGGCCTTGCTTTGGGGTAGTGTATTGATGTCTGTTGTAAGAAAACAGGGATTGCCAATACCTCCACCTTCGACCTGTGGTTAGCTGCTGTTGCTGAGCCATACAATAAATTAGATGGACAGAGGCCTGGCAGTCATCAGCTGCAGTCCAGTCAAAATTCTACTCTTGTTACTGGCTGAATGTGGGGAAGGTAATGAGTAAGTGGGAGTACAAGCCCTTGCAGACATCTGGGAACCTAGGCAATAGCGTACTTAGGAAATTTAAGAGGGGTCGGGGCAAGATCCATAGATTTTCTGACAAAATAATTAGATTAACTCCACCGTTCAATACTGGAGATGATCTGCTGAAATAACACTCATCCTCGCCAACTAGTAATGCAGTGGCAATGGAGCACTGATCTGAAACAGCACTTCCCTTGTAAACAGACTTGCCATAACTTTCAAGTTAAAATGACATCAGTAATAAAAAGTTAAGATACTTTAACTCTAAACATGCTAAAACTAAACATGCTCAGATTGCTGTCACTTTTTCGACAAGGATTGAAAATTTCCAACAAAACTGACTCCTGAGAGGGGGCTACCACTCCCTCTGCCCCCTTTAAATATGCCACTGGTCCAGGTTGCACAAGCGTCAATGAAAGTAGTGTCGCCCTGGCGTCGCTCACTGCCTCACTAGATGCTAACTCCTCTTACATTATTATTCTTTAATAATAGATGTAGATCCCACTCCTGACACCAAAAATTGCAAATTCTCCTCCTTGCAATGGCATGGCATGGATGACAGAAAGATGGCACATTATTTTTCCTTTCATCTACATTACAATCCAGACGCTACAGTGTTCGGATTGCTCCTGTTGTGATATAAAATCCAGTTTATAAAATATAAGAAAGCATTAATGAAAAAATTCATTCTATATAACACCTATCCCTACTTAATCTACTATCAAAATACACTAGCAAAAATGTTAAGGCACAGATTTTTTATTGTTTATTCATTGGTGGTATAATTTTGTTTGTTGATTAATGAAATGTGCAAAATGTTGTATGCTGGCCTTTGCACTGGCATTAGCGATTAGCAGCTGCTAACCACTGGGCTTCTTGAGGGGAATTACCATGACATTTTTGTGAAGCAGGGTCCAAACTAGTGCTGGGTGGGGTGTGTGTGGAAATCAGCATGATCAGCAATGACATCATTATTCCCATAGATACAAGTTATGAAATCAATACTTTGTCTTCATGTGTATATATATATATATATATATATATATATATATATATATATATATATATATATATATATATATATATATATATATATATATATATATATATATATATATATATATATATATATATATATATATATATATATATAATATATATATATATATATATACATGTATATATATATATATATATATATATATATATATATATATATATATATATATATATATATATATATATATATATATATATATACACACACACACACACACACACACACACACACACACACACACACACACACACACATCTATACATGCACATACACACATATACTTTATATATATAAATAAAAAAAAAAATAAAATGGAAATACAAATATAATTATAAATATATCTATCTATCTATCTATATATCTATCTATCTATCTATCTATATCTATATCTATATATATATATATGCTTACAAAAATGCATATATGTAGATGGATAGATAGATAG